CTTCTTGGCTGCAAGTTTACCATCAAAACAGACCAGCGGAGCTTACAATTTTTGACAGATCTGCGGGTAAAAACAGCGGGATAGTACAAGTGGATTTCAAAATTGATGGGGTATTCGTTTGAGATCCATTACTTTCCGGGAAACTCCAACAAGGTGGCTGACACCTTATCAAGAAGAGAGGCAGAAGGGGAACTCTCAGCCCTCACCACTGTCCAGTTTTCAGAGTACGAAGAGTTGGTTGCTGAAGCACAGCGAGATCTAAAGCTCTAGACCATTATTTAGGACCTGCTCATTGATTCCAGCAGCCACCTTCACTACAAGCTCAACAGTGGTTGTCTCCTCTTCAAGAACAGGTTAGTCATTCCCCGCAAATCACACACTTTATTCCAAGAATTCTGGCTGAGTTTCATTACAGCCCCAGTGGGGGACATTTGGGGTTTTTTTGCACTTACAAAAGGGTATCAAGTGTTGTGTATTAAGAGGGCATTCGCTAGGATGTTCAGGAGTTTGTTAAATCTTGTAGCACATGCCAATTAAGCAAACATTCCTCCCTCAAACCTGCCGGACTATTACAACTATTGCCAATTCCCATCCAAGTCTTTGAAGACTTGTCCATGGACTTTATAAGGGGGTTACCAAGAGCCAAGGGACATGATACAATTCTGGTAGTTGTTGATAGGCTCACCAAATATATCCATTTCCTCCTCTTAACTCACCCCTATACAGCCAAAGAGGTAGCTACCCTATTCATACAAGAAATTGTCAAACTCCGCGGCTTTCTGCAATCCATTGTGTCAGATAAGGATAGGGTGTTTATGAGTCAATTTTGGCAAGAAATGTTTAAAGCTGCGGGAACAACCCTTAAGTTTAGTTCAGCCTACCATCCTCAAACAGATGACCAAATAGAGGTAGTAAATTGGTGTGTGAAAGCCTACTTGAGGTGTTTTTGCAGTTCTTAGCCTAAATGGTTATCATGGGCTGAATTTTGGTATAACACAACCTACCACAACTCTACAAAAATGACCCCATTTAAGGCCCTCTATGGAAGAGATCCCCTCATCCTACTCAAACTAACCAATAGTCATTCAATGGTAAAAGATGTCAATCAATAACTTCTAGACAAAAATGTCATGTTGGATGCACTCAAGCACCATTTAATAGTAGCACAATGTCAGATGAAAGAGCAAGCTGATCGACATCGACGGGAAGTCATTTTTTAGCTTGGGGATCTAATGTATTTGAAGCTCCAACCCTATCGATTTTGCTATTTAGCAAAGAAGGTGAATGAGAAACTAAGTCCATGATTTTATGGACCTTTTGTAGTGTTAGAAAGAATTGGCCAAGTTGCTTATCGGTTGACTTACCCCCTTCAGCTCGGATTCACCTGGTGTTCCAACTCAAAAGAAGCCTCCATAGTTCAGTTTTAGTCCAATCGTTGCCTCCTTTCCTTACTGAGGACCTGGAGCTGCAGGTGCAACCCGAGGTTGTCCTCTCAAGTAGCCAGTTGCTAGATGGTTCCTAGGAAGTGCTCATCCAATGGAAAGACCTACCTCTATTTGAAGCCACTTGGGAAGCCTACGATGTAATTAATGTTCAATTTCTAGAATTTTACCGTGAGGACAAGGTGGTTCTTCAGATTGGGGGGGGGGGGGGGGGGGGGGGGGGGGGGGGGGGGGGGGGGGGGGGTGGAAGGCAGGCAACAAGGGGAATTGAGTGGGGAATTAGTTAAAAGGGAATCTACCACGTGGATTCTAAAAAAAGGGGCATTCGGAGTGTGACCTCATTCTAGTATATAGGAGGGGAAAAACCATGTAAAAATCATTAGTAAATTTCAAAAATTCTTAGGAGGTCTCTAGCTCCTCGAACTGCTAGCAGCTTGGGTTTTGCTGTTTCCTTTATCATCTTTTATATCATTGTTTTCTTTATTATCATCTATTTTAAATACTTATCAATTGTGTTTGGTTCAGCAATATATCAAAATACATTTAATCAATTCTGGATACTCTTGTTTGTGTGAGGATTATTGGATTGTTTTGTTAGGTTGTTTTTGGTTGATTCCCATCATATATCTTGCTAATAAATTTATTGAAAATGCTATATCTGGTCGTGTATTGTTAGCAAGATACATTAATGCACCTATTGCACTTAGGATGGTACTTCAGGACCAAATACCTCTTCTTTATCTTCTACTGGCCGAAAAGGATCTTTGTTTACATTAAGTAATCTTACAACCATTAGGGTACTCAGTGGATGTGCTTTATCCATATAAAATCGTTTTAAGATTTTCTTAGTATAATTTGATTGGTGCACAAAACTTCCACTCGTTAAGTGCTAAATTTGCAAACCAAGACAAAATTTTGTTTTGCCACTGTCTTTTATCTCAAATTCCATTTTTAGATAATCTGTTGTCCTTTGAATCTCTTCAAGAGTTCCAATAATATTCAAGTCAACATATACAACAATTATAACAAATCCAGATCTTTTTATGAAAACACATGCGCAAATAGGGCCATTTTTATAATCGTCTTTCAACAAATATTTACTAAGATGGTTATACCACATACGACATGATTGCTTTAATCCATATAATGATTTATGCAATTTAATTGAATAAAATTCTTAAGAATTTGAGTTGCATGCTTCAGGCATTTTAAATCCTTCAGGGATTTTCATATATATGTCATTATCAAGTGATCCATATAAATAGGCTGTAACTACATCCATTAGATGCATATCCAGGGTTTTATTTGTTGCCAGACTAATAAGAAATCGAAATGTTATTGCATCCATCACTGGAGAGTATGTTTCTTCATAATCAATGCCAGATCTTTGCGAAAACTCTTTTACTACAAGTCGTGCTTTATATCTTACAACTTCATTTTTCTCATTTTGTTTTCGCACAAATACCCATTTGTACCCCACCGACATTACATCTTTAGGTGTTCAGACTACAAGTTTAAAAACTCCACATTTTTCTAATGAATCCAGTTCTGCCTTGATTGCGTTTTTCCATTTTGGCCAATCTTCTCTCTGTCTACATTCTTCAACAGATTTAGGTTCAAGATCCTCATTATTATTTATAATATCAAGCGCTATATTGTATGCAAAAATATTGTTGACAAATATTTCTTTTCGATTCCATATTTTTCTTGTAGAGACATAATTTATTGAGATCTCTTCATTCTTGCTAGTTTCAGGTACCTGAACTTCTTCTGGAGTTTCATGATTAATTAGTCACTCTTTTTGAATTAGTGAATGCATCTGGCAACTAATTTGCTACATTTTGCAGATGAATTATCTTTTGAACTTATTGTTCACATTGTTTAGAACGAGGATCAAGATAAGATAATGACGACATGTTCTAGGTAATTTCTTTTTCCAATTGCCTATTCTGTCCCCCTAATGTTAGGAATTTTGTTTCATCAAAATGATAATCAGCAAATCGTGTTGTAAATAAATCTCCTGTTAATGGTTATAAATATTTAATTACAGAAGGAGATTCATATCCAACATATATTCCCAATCTTCTTTGGGGACCCATTTTAGTGTGTTGTGGTGGAGCAATCAAACATATACCGCACATCCAAATATTCTTAAATTGGAAATATTTGGCTCTTGACCAAAAGCCAATTGTAAAGGGGAGAATTTGTGATAACTTGTTGGCCTAATGCGTACAAGTGCTGCTGCATGTAAAATAGCATGTCCCCAAGCAGAACTTGGGAGCTTTGTTCTCATAAATAATGGTCTAGCAATCAATTGGAGGCGTTTAATAAATGACTCTGCTAGACCATTCTGTGTATGAACATGGGCAATAGGCTTTTCAATCGTTATTCTGATTGACATACAGTAATCATTAAAAGCCTAAGACATAAATTCACCAGCATTATCAAGATGTATTGTCTTAATTGTATAATCTGGAAATTGTGCTCGCAATCGAATTATTTGGGCAAGTAATCTCGCATATGCCAGGTTGCGAGTAGATAATAAACACACATTGGACCATCTTGTAGATGCATCTACTAAGACCATAAAATATCTAAATGGTCCACATGGTGGATGAATAGGCCCACATATATCATCTTGAATTCATTCTAAAAATGTAGGTGATTCAATCCCAGGTGATGGTCTAATAATTAATTTACCTTGAGAACAAGCAGCACAAGAGAATTCATTAGATTGAAAAATCTTCTGGTTTTTCAATGGATGTCCATGTGAATTCTCAATTATTCTTCGCATCATTATTGAACCAGGATGATCTAACCGATCATGCCAAATAATAAAAGTATTATGATCAGTAAACTTCTAGTTAACTATAACATGTGTTTCAAATACACTAATATATATTTGTGTAGTATAATCTGGAAGAAAAAGCACGTAATTTTTCCAACACACATTTCTTGCCTACAATTATTCTTGTAATATAAAGATATTCAATATTTTCTTCATTGGTTGTCTCAGTATGCTATCCATTACAATGAATATCTTTAAAACTTAATAAGTTTCTTGGAAGAAAATAATGCATCTTAATTTTATAATAAATTGTGTTCCTCCGAGCAATAATATATTAGCTCTTGCAGAGCCTTCAATTAATCTTGTATAACCAGATATTGTATTTATGCTAGCTTTACACATTATCAAAGAAGAAAAATATTTTCTTTCTTTAAGTATAGTGTGCGTTGTAGCATTGTTTGCAAGACAAAGATCTTCATCATCAATCTTGGATCCAATCATAGACTTGGGAATGTCCATTTTTCTTTATTTGAAAACAAAATACATAGTAAGGCATATTACAAAGCCAACAAAACAAAGCGATTTATCTAAAATTGAAAATCACACTTAAACATATTTAAAGTAAAACACTCGTTAAAAGCAAGACACTCAACTTAAACATATTAAAAGTAAAACACTCAACGTACATAAATTAAAAGTAAAACACTCACAAAAACATAACTTTAATAATTTTGGACATTCCCATCCCCAATTAAATGATCAATTCTCCCTTAAGGATTTTTGAAGAAATCTGCAACATCCAGATGTGTTATATCATCAGGTCTATGATCAAAAGTATCATCTTGATAAGCAAAATTTGCTTCTCTATTTTCATTTTGGTAGGCAAAATTTGCTTTCATATTTGTCTCTTTTTCTTTCAATGATGCTTGATAAAGTTCAACAAGATGTTTAGGCTTACGACATGTACATGACCAATGTCCTTTCATGCCACATCGATAGCACAGATTTTCTGCATTCTTCGAATTTTTATGTTGTCCACTTTTGCCCTTTTCCTTTTTCTCTTCATCATTATTCAACTTCTGGTGGCTTTTATAATTAGAAGAGTTATAGTTATAATTACCACGATTGTGATTATTACGACTTTGACTACGTCCACGGCCACGACCACGACCTCGCCCACGTCCATGATTATTAGATATTGTCACATTCACTTTAGGGAATGGAGTAGAACCTGTTGGGCGAGCTTCATGATTTTTCATTAATAGCTCATTATTTTGTTCAACCACAAGAAGACATGAAATTAGTTTGGAATATTTTTGAAAACCCTTTTCTCTATATTGATACTGCAGGAGCACATTTGATGCATGAAAAGTAGAGAATGTTTTCTCTAACATATCTTCATCAGTAATATTTTCTCTGCACACTTTCAATTGAGAACTAATTTTGAATATTGCAAAGTTATACTCAATTACTGATTTAAAATCTTATAAATGGAAATGCATCCAATCATAACGAGCTCTAGGAAGAATCACAGTTTTCTGGTGGTCATACCTTTCCTTCAAATTTTCCCAAAGAAGTGGATCTTTTACTGTAAGGTATTCAATTTTCAATCCTTCGTGGAGATGATGTCGAAGGAAAATCATGGCTTTAGCCTTATCTTGATTAGATGATTCATTTCCTTCTTTGATGGTGTCACCAAGACCCATAGCATCTAAGTGAATTTCACCATCAAGAATCCATGACAAATAATTCTTTCCTGTAATATCAAGAGCCACAAATTCAAGTTTCGTAAGATTTGTCATGACGAAAACTATAAAAGAAATATTTAATAAATTAGACAATCTCTAATAAAATAAAAATATTACTACAAATAAGAGTTTAGAATAACAATAATGCACATACAATATATTACAATTATATAGAATTTAATCATTTGAAAACACAAATCATAAAAGCAAATATTTACAATTATATGTATGTCTTTTCATATTAATCGAATTATAAATCTATCACTACACAATGTTTTGTTTGTAATGAAATCAAAACATTCCAAATTAAAACACTTTCATATATTTTATACTATAAAAATGGTTAAACATTCCAACATATTTATAAGGCATAATGAGATACAAGCAAAATTGAATTTACTTGGCAAATGGAAAACTTCAACTCCAAATTTGATAAGAGACAAAAGCTTGAAACTTGATGAGAATTTTTTTTTTCCTTTGACAAGTTGATAAGGTTAGAGACTTGTGCTGATAACGTATAATAAAATAAGCTATAAGAAGAGAGAAGATAATTGAGGGGAAATAGAACCAATGCTTTTCTTATTCCAAAGTTGAGTGTATATCATCTTTCATAATATATCTATTTATAGTCTCAATATTATGAAATATTATAAATGAAATTAAAAGCTAATAAAATGCTTTGAAGTTGTAGAACTTGAAAGGTTTAAGAGTTAGAGAAGATGAAAGATTAGGAAGTTATAGAATTGTAAGGGACATCCACATTTATTCATAACATAAAAAAATTTATCAAGTCAAATAATAAAAGTTATTTTCGTCTTTACCGTGGTTATACCCTGTCAATTAATAGACCTTACCAAAGATATTTATTAAACTTTTTGGTGGTAAAACTTAATAATAAATATTTGCTCACAATCCACTCTTACAAACTTTCTCTCACGACCCCGACGTAACAGTTCGTAATTGGTCAGTTCGTAATTAGATAGGAGGGACCCATAGTGAGTAGACATGATCCATTTGTGAGCTAACCAATTGCGAACTGTCACGTCAGAATTATGAAAGACAGTTTGTGAGATTATGTTATAAGTGTAGTATCACCCAAAACTTAATTACAACCTTAGTGGGAATTTGTGATTCTCTTGTATATAATTTGAAGTATTGAAGGCAGTTACAAATTTCATTATGATGCTTCAAACAAATTTGAATCAATTTTTTGAGTTTAAATAACACAATATATTTCAAAATTAACCAAAGAATTAGAAAATACACACACACACACACACACACACAAAACCCTAGATTGTTTAGGATTCGTTTGTTTAATTATTTTTCATTATCCTATCCCTATCCTATCCAAAATACACATTTGTTTCCTTATTTTGAAAATCCTATTTTATTTATTTAATTATTTTTAAACCCCCATAGGTTTGTTAATTTGACTAAACACCCAAAAAAAGTTTAGAAATTGACAAAAACACCCTCACCTGCCCACATTGGCAAGATTCCGGCCACCACTACCAGTAGGTGGCCAGAATCTGGAATAATGGCGCACTATCGGCTGGATCTGGCCGGTAGTGCGCCGATCTAGCCTTTTTCGGCTAGGAAAATGCCAGATCTTTGGCCATAGGTCGTCGTTGACAACCAGATCTGGTGGTAGATCTGGCCTCTTTTAGCAACATCCACAATGGATCTGGCTTCTTTTAGCAAGATCCACGGTGGATCTGACTGGAAAATGCTATATCGGCATACCACCGACCAGATCTAGCCTGTCATGCACCAATACTGTGACTCCAGCCACTCTCTGGTGGTGGTGGTCAGCTGCCGATATTTAATGGGTGAGTGAAGGTGTTTTTGTTAATTTTTAATGTTTTATTATATGGGTGTTTAGTAAATTAACAAACCTAAGGGGTGTTTTTATTAATTTTTAAATCTTACCTCTTTATTTCCTCCCAACTCTTACTTTTCTAAAAATACTATCGAAAATACTAAAACAAATGGACCAATCGCTATGAATTATGCCATATGAGGCTTCATCAACAAGAGAAGGCTAATGGCACTGAGAGGGCCTAAAAGGATTTACACAATATTGGGCTTGACGTTGACCTTTAATACCACTGGGCTTGCTCCCTTTGGTTGGGCCCATAATTGACACTTGGTTTCTTAACGACTTGAATTTAATCTAATTATACCACTACTTTTAGTATTATAATAATTAATAAGGGATATAATAAACTACGACAAATTAGAGGGCTTAAATTATCCAAATCCCTGATCTTTATGACCAAGAAATTCTTTTATAATGCGAATGCCCTTACTTCAAATCTCTCCAGACACTTGGAACATTTTCTCATAAACCTTAACTGTTTCTTTTGAAGACCTACGTATTATCTAATCTTAATTCTTATAATTTTGATTTTGGTAACATTCTACAAGGATTTTTATAGTAAGGAGAGAATGTTAATTTGGATGACCATAATTATACTAATAGCAAAAATAAATAACACTTAGTATTACCAAGGGGTTGACTTGCTGTTAAGAAAATTTGCTCCTTTTGTTGAGTTTCAAGTTCAAATAACATTGGATTTATAGAGTGTTTAATAAACCGGAGATTAGTTGAAGTATACGTAAACTGACCCAAACACCCCATAGAAATAAATAATATTACATTTCCATGCAAATAAAGAAGAAGAATAATATGGAAACTTTTTGTTTGATTCAATTAATAATTGACTATTACAAGCAATATTTAGATATCCCTAATCAAAATCCCCACCCGCCTCCCTTTAGCGGACGCGGAAACATAATCATAAAAGAAAAATAATACAGTTACCGAAGAATACACACCGAATTCATGTACCGAATGACATGACATCATCCTCACCGTCGATTAATTATGTTTTTTAAGAAAATAAGATAGTGTCATGTTATTCGGTGTATGAATTCGGTACACATTCTTCGGTAACTGTAGCATTGCTTATCATAAAATCCAAAATCTTTCCATAGGTAATTTCTTTCACTACGAGAAAAAAAGAAAAAAAAAAATAATAGATATGGAAGCACTCCTTTATCGGAGAGCAAATTCAAATTCAACATTTTGGAAGATCAGACGGCGGAGGTGGCAGTTTTTGCTTTGGCCTCTTTCCATCCATCACAATCCACGCCATCTTCAACCCCCAACTGGTGTGTACTTCCAAATGGCAATGCATAAACCAAACCCCTGTTCATTATTCACCACAATATCAAGATAACATTAGCTAGACATCTATGATATGGCTACGGGTACCAACCAACAAGTAATTAATTAGGGTAATTATGATTGTTATAATTATAATCCAACTTTTACGTAATTAATTTTAGAACCCACCAGGATTGTCTGCAAGAAAACGAATGGCCACCCACCCACCAGATGGGACGCCTACAGTGTTCCTCTCAGCAGGGTCAACCAGGTTGAAATTGGCCGGGTCCTTGTTGGGGTTGAAGTTGCCAAAGCCTTGACCAATCACAAAGAAGTTAAAGCCATGAAGGTGAAGAGGGTGGCTCTCTGCGCCAATGATGCTAGTGTCTTGCATCACCAGCTCAACACTAGTATTAAAAGGTAGTACCACAACTTTTGTGCCGCTGTTTACCATAAGCTTTTTTGGTGGTGTGCCGGTATAGTTGAATTTGAATGGTGGGTTGACGGGAAAATCAGTTGTGTACACGCCTTTAGATTTCTTAAAGAAGTGAGCCTGAAGTAGAGCTACGTTTGGCTGCACGAAGGACACATTGTTAACGGAAGCTGCTAGCTTTGTATTGTTTGGTCCCTGGCAAGTTTGGTTTTTTGGACATGGGTTCAATCCTAATCCTACGGTGAAGAAAAAGCGTCTATCGACTTTCTTGGGGACATTGGCAGGGAATTTGGCTGTGGCTAAGCTACGGATTTTCTTGCTGAATTTCATGGCAAAATTTGTGTCATTTAACTTTGGAAGTGCAGGTTTGAGCAGGGGAAATTTCTTGTTTTTGTTTTGAGAGACAGGAGAAGGAGGTTCGTATTCAAGAATGCCAATGGTTGTGGTATTGTCGAAGGTGGCTGGGCCAGTGGCGTAAGGCCTAGCAGCAATGGCGAAAGTGGCAGTAGGTGCCTTGGATTTGGCCTTGAGGAGGACATTGGTGGTTTGTCCTGGAGTGATGAGTACGACGTTAGTTTTTATGGGTTTCACGTATACTGCATCAGTTTCTACCACGGTTAAAGTGTGGTTGGCAATGCTGACGAAGAGCTCATCGTTGAGTGCAGCATTGATCATACGGAGGAGGTATAGTTTTCCAGGCTTCACCTTCAGCTTGAATGCGTCTGCATGAAGTTCATGGTTGGTATTAAATTATTTTCAGAAGCGTTTGCATAGAAAAATAAACCACGTGCCTATGTTTTCAGTATAATTTAACCTTTCGCTGAGCAGTTATAGGAGGGTCCAGGGAGACCGTTAATGGTGAAAGCATCAGAGATATTTGGTGGTCCTCCTGATTGCAAGGCTTGGCTGATAATTTTCTCAGTGTCTGCTTTCCACCATTCTCCTATAATTGGAGGCAAAAAGTGCACATAAATATAACCAGTAACGAGTACTTTTCAGTTATTAGAGTAAGTGGTAAGAGAACTTATGCATCTTACCGAAAATGATGGGAACTTCTTTAAAGGGTTGGGCAAATGGATAAGGGACATGTTCCTTGGGGAGGATCACAATTGGTCCATACAAAGTTGCTCTTAGCCAAGAGATGTGGGCATGCCAAAACAAGGTTCCTCTTTGGCCAGTGATGGTGAAGTTGTATACATAGGATTGACCTGTTTGAATTGGGCACTGTGTGATATAGGCAGGTCCATCTGCCCATCCACTCCTTAGTTGCCGAATGCCATGCCTGTTTCTCTAAGTTGATTAATATAAATTATGATGTAATGACCATAATAAAGGGAAGAGATCAAGTAGTTTTCATACCAGTGAAGAGTGGTATTGTACTTGACTTTGTTAACAACCTTGATTACGAGGCGATCACCTTCCCTTGCTACGATTCGAGGTCCCGGAAATTGCCCGTTGACAGTCAAGATGCTCTTTGTTTGGCACAATCTTGTAACATTTTGCATAACAATCTGTAAAAGATTAGCTAGAAATATGTTACACCTTCAAATAAATGCATGAAGACACATATAATTACACGAGTTAATTAAATCATAATTAAGCAAATATTTCATACATTAAACTTGTAGTGCCTGGTAGTTCCTGCATGTTTTGCCTGTGCCAGCTCTGGAAAAATCCAGATAGCACACAATGCAAGGAACAAAAGCTTCACGAAAGCCGATGGCGAAAGAAGACTAGCACCCATCTCAGTTTTGTTTCTATCAGAAAATCTATAGATAGAGAGAAAATGATAGTAGAAATGAGACACAGGTGATTGGTTGCTGAGAAAGTGAGAGGGTGGAGGATTTATATAGTAAAATACAAAGATTAGTTTGTTAATAATTAGGTGACTGAGATTGACATATAATTTTGCGATCGGCAACAAATCAGACTTTTGGTCCATCTCTCTATAGCTAGTTGCAGGTTATGTTTTACTTTCGAGTGATGTCCAAGGCAGATAGTTTTTCCTAATCTATTCATTAATCAAGCTTAACTGTATTTGTCAAAGTCCCTAAATCATCCTGAGGACATTAGTTTGAGATTAACACAGAATCAATGGCACTTGGTCACAGCCAATCAACATTAACAATGGTGGTTCATCTAATTAAGAAACTGAAGGTACAAATTTCGTGTTCAAATGAAATAATTGAGAATTTATATATATATATTGAGTGAAAAATAAAATATCCTAAAGTAATGAAGTTAATTAGTGGGGATGAAGAGGGGATTGATTAGTCAATAATTAGGGAAATATTTTTTGACGGCGTCTGGCATTAATATGAATTCAACCTCTACTATGGAAACTTGATAATTAAGCCAAAAAGGGAATTGGGTGTTACACCATATTGTTAATTAGTTGTTGGTTGTTCGTTTGCCGTAACAAACAGCTATGATTTAACAGCTCAAAGATCCTACATCTACCAATGATTTTCTGCGAAAAGTCTATAAACCAGCCACAAACCGTTGAACATTAGGGTTCTTCGTTTTGTCGTTTATAACATTTGAGAAAGGACGTTATAAAGACTTGGTCCAAGCTTTCTGAAAAATTTCAACATTCATATGGAAGTTTCTAAGAAAATGACCAAAATTCAATAAACTAATAGTAATTTTCCAGAACCAGAACGGGACCCTAATGGGGCATGTTCTCAGGTTTTAATTCTACCATTTACCCATGTTCACTCATAGTCATTGGAGCTTTTACTTAATCGACAGTTTTAAGGTCCTGATGATTAATTGTGCGTAAACTGACCCAAATATTCTAGTGACAAAAAAAAAAAAAAAAAAAAAAGAGAGGTTGACAATTTTCGGTTAAAATACAATGCTAAAAAAGAGGGCACCATTCTTTAAAAAATCGAGAATAGTTAATATTTTGATATTTTGGATAGTATTTTTGAAAAAGTAAGAGTTGAGTGATAATAATGATTTATGATTTGAAAATTAACAAAAACACTCTTTAGATTTGTTAATTTACTAAACACCCATGTAATAAAAACATTAAAAATTATAAAAACACCCCCATCCACCCATTAAATACCAGCAGCCGGCCACCACTGTCGGAGGGTGGCTGGAGTCATCGTATCGGCGTACGACTGACTAGATCTGACTGATCGTGCGTTGAGATAGCCTTTTCCAGCTAGATCCACCTTAGATCTGACTGGAAAAAGGTCAAATCTATAATTAGATCTAACCATTGACGGTCAAATTCGATCGTATTTGGTCGTCAATGAAAGCCAATGATATAGTCATCGTTATTTGAAACCAGAAAAGAATAAGCATTAATTTACATGAGAAGCTGTTAGATTTGTACAGTAACGAACAACCATCAGCTAACTAGATGGTGCAATGAACGCTTTCATTTTTGGCTTGATTAACAAGTATCAACGGTGGGAGACTGAATATTACCAGACAACCATCTCTTTCCGTCAATAGCTAGAAGCTTTTATAAAATAAGGTTATTTTATTTTCCACTCAATCAATTAATCGTTCCTTCCCTTTTCTTAACTAGATGAACAAATTTTGACTCAGTCATGACTATATATGTCAAGGATAATTGATTGAAGCATCAACTTCAAGCTGTACAGTTTTTGCAACTCTCTGCCTTGGATGCTACTCTAAAATAATACATGACCAGCAGCATTTTGCTGTCTCGGGGCTTTGGCTCTACATGACTCCAAAATTGTGTCAATCTCGATCGATTAATAACAAAGCCAAAATTTGGTTTCACTCATGCACACTATTTGTATATAATCCTCTCTTGTTCATTTTCTCTCCATCCAATCATCCCTGTCCCATTCGAGCTAGATTTCATATATCATTTTCTTTGTCAGTAAGAAACAAGCTAAGACGGGTACTGGTCTTCTTTTGTCATCGCACTGGCAAATTACCATGCAGGCATTATCAGACACTACAAGTTTAACGTACGAAATTTATATCTATTTGCTTCATTAATTTGACTTTTGTATTAGTATATGTTTTCATACATTAATTCAAAGTTTACAATAATATAGAGTAAAATGTTTTCGCCCTGATATCCACAGATCATCATGCAAAATGTTACAAGATTGTGCCTAACAAAGAGCATTGTGACTGTGAATGGGCAATTTCCTGGACCTCGATCGAATCGTAGCAAGGGAAGGTGGGTAACCATGTTTAGTATAATGTCACTCTTCATTGGTACGAACTTTCTCTCTTGTATATATATGTTCTACCGGTTATTGATCAGTATTATTAACCTGAAGAAATAGGCATGGCATGAGGCAATTAAGGAGTGGATGGGCAGATGGACCAACCTATATTAAACAGTGCCCAATTCAAACAGGGGAGTCCTATGTATACAACTTCACCATTACTGATCAAAGAGGAACCTTGTTTTGTCATGTCCACATCGCTTGGTTAAGAGCTATTTTGTATGGACCAATTGTCATTCTCCCCAAGCGATATGTCCCTTATCCATTTCCACAGCATTTCAAAGAAGTCCCTATCGTTTTTGGTAATATATATACAACTTCTTTATCATACATAATTTAAAATTATATACTCGCTAAATAAAGAGTATTTTGTTTTCAATTGTAGGCAGGGGCGAATTCAGCCCCTTACCCTCAAGTTCTAAAGAAAAATTATTAATATATAGGCCCACAAAAATTGATATTAACATATATATCTAGACTATCCTCGAATTTAAAAAAAAACGAGAATTATTATATATGTATCTAGACCCACAAAAAACTTGTTATTAATATATATTTTCCAAGCCCACATCATATTAAAAGTTTAAAACTCTCTCCACTCTTCTTCCGGCTCCACTTGCTTTTTATAATTTTATCCCTAAAATTTTTTACTCCCTCATTCTCTCGTTCTCTTCCTTATGTTATTTAATCTTAAAACTTTTAAGACTGAAATTGTTGAAGCTTTTACTACTCAAGATGTCACAATTAACTCTGTTTTCTATTTTATCAGTTTTAGGTATGTGTATTGCTCATTTCAATTTAGTTTATTTTATGGTTAAATCGTGCATTTGTTTTTTTTTTTTTTTGTTTTTTTGAGGGTTTTCATTCTAATTTGAGGGGAAAAAACATAGATCTTGTGAGTTTATTTGTGTTTTATGTAAAGTAAAAACTTGGTCCCTAAATTAAAACCTTAACTATATTTTAAAAGACGTTATTCTTCACCCTTCACCCACCACTTTTCTACATTTTAAACATCACCATGCTACTCAAAATAAATAAATAAATTTGAGTTATATCTAGTTTATATCAATAATTTTTTTATTTATTAATTCATATTAAAAGTCAACGCAATGTTGACTTGATTTAAATTTTGGTTGACTTTAGCTTAGGTTAAGTCTGGTCAAAGTTTGAAAACTTATATTATAATCTTGGAACACAAAAAAAAAAAAAAAAAAAAAATTTTAAAAGAAGGTTTTGCTCAAGGTTTACTTACATATTTACTCAAATTTTTGCTTCTCATGAATTTATTCAAATAAGAAAGTATGCGTTACATTCTTTTTCTAGATTCTTGATATTGTATTATTTCTTGCGTTAGGTTTCATAATTTTTTTTAAGTTTTTAAGTTGTTTAGCAAACAATGACGGAGTCGCGGAGACCCCCTCAACAAAAACCTGGATCCACCATGATTGTATGAGAATGGTGGAAAGCAGACACTGAGACAATCATCAGCCAAGCCTTGCAATCAGGAGGAACACCAAATGTCTACGATGCTTCACCATTAAAGGTCTCCCTGGACCCTCTTATCAAGCAAGATACAAGCATCATTACTGTAGAAAGCCACCCTCTTCACCTTCATAGCTTTAACTTCTTTGTGGTTGGTCGAGGCTTTGGCAACTTCAACCTGAACAAAGACCCGGCCAACTTCGACCTTGTTGACCCTGCTGAGAGGAACACTGTCGGCGTCCCTTCCGGTGGTTAGGTCGCCATTCGTTTTTTCGCATATAATCCAGGTGGGTTCCAAAATTAATTACTATGATCTTAATTTATATAGAAGACCCCCACAATAATTCCTAGATGCATGGATTACTTTATAATAATTAATTAACAGGCGTTTGGTTCATGCATTGCCATCTGGCTTGAAGATGGCTTGGATAGTCAAGGATGGAAAAGGGCCCAAGCACCGTCTGATCTTCCAAAATGTTAAACCTTGATCGACCTTGACCCCTCAAATCATCTTAATCATTAATACTTGTGACCAGAAATAGCCGATGAATGTTCCCTCTTCCACGGAAGGAAGCGTCAGGGAGGGTGGGGAATGGGGATTGATTAGGATACATATTAGGCTTGTAAAATTGAATTAATTATCAATGGATTAACATAAATTTATAACCCTTTGAGCATCAACCTAAAGGTTCTAAATAATTTTAATTTTTTCATTCATGTCTCAATAAATTTATATCTATAAGTTGATATAATTTACATAAATAATATCTTAATACTAAATTCAAATCACAATTTATCCGAAAATCATTAAATAAGCAAAAGTATGTGTGGTTAAAAATACATTTTCGTCTTAAAATAGGGTATTTTCGTAAAATAAAGAAAGTAAAAGACTATCCAAGTAAAATTTTCAAACTAACTTTACGTCACCGCACCATCTAGAATTGTACAGACCCGTCTCCAACCTCCAAACTCTTTTTGCTATTTCTTAATTCATTTTAAAAATTCCACGGAGACGCCGTCGTTTTTCATAACGCCGGTGCCTCCGCCGCAATCACAATGAAGCAAGGCTTCACTTTCTCTCTACCCGTAACCGTCG